AATTTTCAGTAGTTCCATACATATTTATCTCGAATACTTTTCTAAAACATTCAAAGTACTAGACATTTTTACACTTTGAATCTCATATCGATTTCTAAAATAATCCTAGTTCGATGTAATATAGAACGTGGTTTTATGAGATAGATTCGAAGTTCGCAGCCATTAGCTCGATATTGTCTTCAGTTTACAGTACTTTACCGATGACAATACCGATTGCCCAGGCCTCACCACGAGGAGGTTGCTGCGAGTGGAGGCCCAAGGCAGGTAGATGGAATCACAAGTTCTACATCTACCCACCTTTCACAATAAACCTTATAAATAACTTAAATCTTAACTATGTAATACTATCGGTACTAAAATCCCTCGGCGGATGACTTCTTTCTTGAGCCTAAACCTATAAAAAACTAAGTTCCCTCGTCGGTTGTCTTCGTTCTTCAGCTTAGAACTAATATTATCTTAATATTCTAATTAATACGAATTAATGCTATTAATACAAAATAACTTAAACTAAACGCAACGTAGTCGCTAATACTCAAACGAAAGAGATAGACGGAATGGAAAAAGTTCCATCGATCATTTCGTTTACGCACCTAATATTCTATATACCAAGCAGTTATTAAGTCTACGATGAACTACGCGTTAAACTACAGTATGAACAAGTATCGCGATGAAAGTGTTGTCGCCAGAACCTGGTTTAAGAAAATAGGAAAGACGGGCGACACCTCGCTAACCCGGATCCATCTTTTACTGCCATGGAGCTTTGGGCTGGTCACCTGCGTACCAGACCCGAACCAAAGGAGTACACAAGCATGGTAGTGCAAGCGAGATTCTCTGTTTACGGAGCAGCCTCCCGACTACTCCGTACCCTTGCACGCACGAGTCTTTCTCCAAATCCTACTTACCAGGCAAAGACTAAACACGTCCGATATCTGGCTCCTCAATAGAAACCAGAGGGATCGGCAAACAGTCTCAGTGTACAGACCCACTGCCCGTACCATAGGTACAGACCCACTGCCTGTACCCCAAGTCTGTGTAGAGAATCAACGAGTAAGCAAAATGAATTAATAATAACTTGGTATGCACAATGGATGGTCACAATTTAAGTCTATTAATAGATAGACTAAAATTAATAATAAACGATGTGATGATGAATATGAATATAACAATGAATATCGAATTATGATTTAAGTTTAACTTACAGTAACTTAACGCAGTGGTAGACGCTTTGAGGATGTAGACGTTGATCGATGTCTTCTTTCGATGGAATAACTGATTGGAAAAAAATTTTTCATTATACAATACACATAGAATACATAATATGCAAAGTAAATAAATCACAGTATAGAAATCACAGTAAATAAATAACAATAAATGAATCACAGTACATAAGAAGATAAATATCGAAGCCAATGGTTCTCGAACATCTGTAACATACAAGGGATTAGTAACAAGAGGGGAGACACAACAATATGCACAGTAAATAGATTAATAATATACACAGTAAATAAATCACAGTATAGAAATCAGAGTAAATAAATCAGAGTAAATGAATCACAGTACACAAGAAAATAACATTGAAGCCAATGGTTCTCGAACATCTGTAACATACAAGGGATTAGTAACAAGAGAGGGGACACAACAATATGCACAGTAAATAAATTGATGGTTGTCGAATGCCTGCAACAAGGGTTAGTAACAAGAGAAAGGACGAGTATGAGACGCGCGTCCACCCACCGCGACGGCTCACGAGAAAGTGAGGAAGCTAACGCCGTTATATATTGGGCGTACGCAGGTTGGTTCGTGTTGAATTGTTTTTGTCGGCTTGAACGACCTTCCTTGAACGACCCAAACACCGGATGGTACAGCCAGTTACGGCTATGTTACACGGCGTACGCTGGGGCGCGATACGCGGGGCGCTCCGGGAGTACGGAGTGCCCCCGTATCTGCTGGCCGTCGTCCGGGACTATCTCGCGGACCGGGAGATCGAGTACCCCGTTCAGGGGGGAAGGCTGGTACGCAGAAGGGTGAGCCGAGGAGTGCCCCAGGGGTCCGTTTTGGGACCATTCCTATGGAACCTGGGGTATGACTCGGCGTTGCGCGGGCTCCTCCCCCCCGGTGTGCGTGTCGTCTGTTACGCGGACGACACGCTGATCATCGGGCTGGGGAGGGGTATTCCCCCTGGGCTTTGCCCTATTGGGGGAGAGTCCCACACTACCCCCGCTCAATCCTCCCACATCGGAGGATGGCGGGGGTGTGCGTAAATGCATTCCCTCACGTAAAAAAGAAAACAAAAAAAAAACAAAAAAATGTTACACGGCGTACACGGCTAGGTCAATAAACTGTGTGACGCAATGTCACTAGTGCGTTGAACCGACGGAGAGCACCGATACCGCGGCAGGCTCTACCGTACTCTCTCGCTCGCACACCTCCCCTCATAGACCACTGAAATTCCTCAGCACGCGTGACGCGTCGACACCAACGGAGAGCACCGATACTGCGGCTCGCTCTCTCCCTTTCGCCCGCTCCAACCATCTTCGGCCTCGTTCGGTACGCGTCGACACCGACGGAGAGCACCGATACCGCAACTCGCTCTACCGCTCTCGTTTATTTATGATGTTCATATTCCCCAAATAAATATCATATTTAACTAATTTGTTTAAGCGACATGTTCCTTTTAAAGATTTAGCTCTCCAGTATAAATCCCTAAGACCCTTATTTATTATTCATTTCACAAAATAATTGCAAATATGAAAGTTTTTTACCTCTTCTTGAACATTCTAATTTCATAGCCCGAAACTGGGTACCTGAAGGTATTTCATTGAATTTGTGTAAAAGATTTTACTACTTCCTAAAAGATTCCGTGTGATATTTGATAGCATAAAAAACAATGTGCCGATACAGGGTTTCGATTTATTTACGAAACTAATCTGACCAGTTGCTGCATTCTTTGACACTAATTTTCAAGAAAATAAAACTTCTGTATTTCACTTAATTTGAGAGACACGTAGCTGAATATTAACATACGTTCATTATTTAATTACTCGCAATAAGTAAAATTTTTGGAAGTAAATAACGTGTAAGTAAATTCATATGTAAAAATTTCCCAATTGCCAGAAAGTAATTGTTCGTGCGTATTAAAATTCTTACAATAGGCAGTAAAACTATTCACACTCCCATATAAATTATAAATATGTAGATGTTAATGAAAGCGGTGTATATATTCTCCCACATGTAGATTTGATAAACTATTTATGAAACTACATCTATTCTGAATTTATCTGTTACAAATATACAAATGTAAGGCAAGATATAAAAACGAATAAAACAAGAACATGTAAAAAGTAACATTAATAAAATGTCCATTAACGATGCATTTAGAATAAATTGTCTTGTAGTTAAGTGAAAAAATATATACTTTTCCGTTTCATGTTTCATGACTGTC